CCTTGAAGCACAGGAGAGAACCAACGCATTCAGCTCTATTCATATTATAGGACTGCAAGACTGGAAATTGAACCTGGGTCGCAAATTAATTTTAATTTTTAATTTAATTATTTCATATTATTGATTATCATTTTATTCTGTTATCATATTAATCTTTCTTTAATTTTCTAAATCAAATTTTATTCTTATTTATATTAGGATTGTTTCTTGGTGGTGCTTTAAGGTCTGGTAAAGTGTTTGTATGGAACAGAGATACTGACTCTTTGCATACTACACCTGTTTTGGACAAGATCAGAAATGTCCTTGGATCAAGTAAGTATCACATCTAATCAATCTTAGTACAAAAAATAGTCAGTGAACAAACCCTAAGTTAAGCTAGCTGTTTCCAAAATCAACCAAGAAAAGTTCATCATGTAACGTTGTGCCTTCTCTTTTATTCACTTATCAAACTCCATACACAAACCCAGTCGACTCACTCRCACACACACTAGCCTCATGCTCTCACGTCAGTCACTACAATCACTTACTTGTCCAAAACACATGTTTACATAATAGTTTGATAATTGAATTTTTTTATCAGTAAAAGCCATAATCCACAGATATCTTGGGCTATGTACATGTAGCTTTATTCAAGGCCATATCCAGGGGGGGACTCCAGGAAAAAAGTACTGGGGATGCTCGTCGTATCTCTTAGGGGTAAAAATTCACGATTTGGTATCTATTAGGGTGTTAAATGCGAATTTTTTAAAATCAGCATTTTCTGGTATCTCTTAGGGTGTCTAAAAGGAGAGAAGCGCGTATTGATATGGCTTATCCTAGGCACTTTTTATATAAAATTTAATATTATTTGTTGTGGTATCTCTTAGGGGTTAAAAATCATTCAGCCACGCCCTTTTTTAAAGACTTCCGGTATCTTTTAGGGGTCTTTTAGAAAATTTACGACGAGCATCCCCGGTACTTTTTTYCCCGGAGTCCACCCCCGGGGGGCCATAGCCACCAGAACAGTTGGTCCAGCTTTAACTGCACCACTTTTTAACTTCATAACCATTTTTGGCCCTCATAAAAATATTTATGTATTACACAAGTCCATTGAAAAGAAAGGTGGATCACCTTTTTWAAAACCAGACCACTGTCCAAGTGGTGGCTACCACTTTGGTGTTGGTTAAGCTATGAAAATGATAATTACTAATAGTATGCATATRTATTAGTAATAATTATGAGTTTAAAAAACTTGTTTTTCAGACAACAAAGCAGTTCATCTTTTTATTTCCAATTGTGGTACAAAGATTCTCTTACTGTCCAGCCTTGATCAGATTTTTCTGTGGGAAACAGAGAATGATGCTTTCCCTATGCACCCAGGTAATATATATGAGCTATAGAGTGCATACAGTAGTGTTAATTGGAATCAATTGGTTATACTTTTTGTCCAGAGCAGGGTTGATTAAGAGGATTATTGAATTGGCCAGGAATTTTAGGGGGTAATTAGGAGGGGAGGAAAATGGAGAACCTGGAAAAAATTGTTCCCCTAGATTAAAGCACTGGCTAGGATATATCCAGTAAGTGACTCTACTCACACATGACCACAGTGTGATAGGCAGCATGTAAAAGCAATTAATAAATAATTATTAAGGGTAAATGAAAATGTTTTTTCCTCTGATTCCCACACCCCTTATTACTACTAACCCACCATACCCCAACCCCTAGTCAACTTGGTCATATTCAGGGTCATATTTTACTGAGTCTTTTGTCTGTAGGTGAGCCATTCACTGGCACTAGGACCCATACAGATTCACTAACCCACCACACCCCAACCCCTAGTCAACTTGGTATCTCAG